AGGGCCTGGGTCTCCCCCCACCGAAGGGATTCAGGGGATGCTGAGTCCTGAACCCCCATTCTGCTGCCAAAAAATGAGATTTAATTCAGTGATTCTCACCACGTGTCCGGTGAAAATTCCCACTTTTCAGTGGAGAGCAGGAATCACGGAATCACAGCTTTGGGAGGGCCCTCAAATTCCGTCCCACGAGCGGGGAATCCCCCGGCTGTGAACGGAGCAGAGGGGCTGGGAAGGACCCCGGGTGTTCCCCAAAATCGGGATCGGAGGGGCTGGGAGGGACCTTGGGTCTTCTCAAAAATCGGAGCCAGAGGAGCTGAGAATAATCCTGGGTGTGCCCAAAATCGGAACCAGAGGGGCTGGGAAGGACCCCGGGTGTTTCCCAAAATCGGGATCAGAGGAATGGGAATGACCCCGGGTGCTCCCCAAATCGGGATCAAAGGAGCTGGAAGGACCCCGGGTGTTCCCAAAATCGGGATCAGAGGAATGGGAAGGACCCCGAGTGTTCCCCCAAAATCGGGAGCGGAGGGGTTCGGAACTGCCCCGGGTGTTCCCGAAAATCGGGACCAGAGGGGCCGGGAACGGACCCCGGGTGTGCCCCAAAATCGGAACCAGAGGGGCCGGGAACAACCCTGGGTGCTCGCGGAAATTGGGACCAGAGGGGTTCGGAACGGCCCCGGGTGTTGCCCAAAAATCGGGACCAGAGGGGTTCGGAACGGCCCCGGGTGTCCCCCAAATCCCCACCGACCCACGGAGGGGCTCTGAACCCTTTTCCCCCCGAGCCACCGTGTTTATTTTCCCTCCCTCGCTTCCTCGCCGCTTTTGGGGCAGTTTATTTATTCAGCCTCCCCTCCCGGGCTGTTTTTGGCCGTTTTTTTGGGGCGGCCCCGCCCGGCCCCAAAGCGGCTCKGCTCTGTCAGGGCTGTCAGCGAACACCAGCCCCTGATGCCGGCCAGGAATTTTAATTGAAATCGCCGCTCCCTGCGCTCAGATAAGACCCAAAACCACCCCAGGGTCCGAGGGGCTCGCCGGGACCCCCCTCCCGCTGCTGG